AACTTCATTTATCCTGAGACCAGCATAAGAAACCCAATTCAGAGATGGAAATGAATCCAGGGCCACATATTCATAAAAAATATATCTTTTAGCCATCTTTTGTTAGATTCTTTAATGTATTATTTATTTCTTTTAAGAGAGTAAATACTAGTATAAGATATTAAATAGCACATGCTTTGAAAATTAAGATGAGGCAATGTAAAACTTGATTGAATAAATGCAGCAAGTAACAATAACAAATTATAAATGCTGGTATGTATTAAATTATATCTCTTAATAGTCTGAGTAATAGAGACTTAATGTTAGATAATTTGCGGGGCGGGGGGGGGGGGGAGATAAAACAATGACCTCCCTCATATAAAGGTTACACCCTAACTCCAGTATGGAAAAACATCGTATAATTCATTCCTCATAAACCTCAGGTATTATGCCAGCTCTTAGGGCCACAACAGTGTTCTAATATCTGTGAAGCCAACTTTATAATTTTTGAAGAAAAATTTTAAATAGAACGTTATAATACATGTGCGCTGGAGCAGGTTTTCACTTCCCTGACCCAGGCAGGCCAGCCTTGAGGAGTGAGGGCTGCTGAGCTCCTCCGCTGGGCTTGGCAGAAGCATCCAAACTGGCAGAGGGCAAGGCCTGAGAGGACCTGGGGCTGGCGCCCCCACAAACTGCTCGAAGCCACAAAGGTGTGGAGAGAGAGAACTGTGGGAGGCCAAGAGCCGAAGTGGCATTTCTGCTGTGCATTCAGGCAGCGTTTTTCATCTGTGTTTCCGGAAAGGCTTCCCTTACTTCAGGGTTCATACATCCTCTGTGAACCAGCTAAGCCAGGGAAAGACACCCAGACTCTGGGAGCGAACTAGGTCTCCCCCAAACAAGTAAGCGAGCAGTTGCTTCAAGAGCCCACAGCTCGGACACAGCCCTGCAGCCGCAGTCACTTGCTGCATCCTCACGCCACCCAAGGCTTCACCCTGGCAGGAAAGCAGGGATGAGATATGTATGTAGTTTTAGGCTCTTCGAGGTACTATAACACATGACCACGGACTAGGTATCATAAGCAATAGAAGCATTTCTCACAGTTCTGGAGGCTGGAAGGTCGAGGTCAAGGTGCCAGCATGGTGGGGTTCTGACGAGAACCCTCCTTCTGGTGTATGCACTCTTTCTCCCTGCGTCCTCACATGGCAAGGAGAGAGAAAGGAGTCGGCTCTCTGGTGCATCTTCTCATAAGGGCACTAATTCCACTAGTGAGGGTTCCACCCTCATGACCTAATTACTAGGAAGCCCCACCTCCTAATACTATCACACTGGTGTTTGGATTACAACATATGGACTGGGGGCAAGAGGGAGACAAATATTCAGTCCATTACACACACACACACACACAATTTGCAGACACAGGACTAAAATCACACAGTGTGAATTCTCTTGACAGGTCAGCAACATTCTCTGGTCATGTACTTTTCTAAACAGAGTTCTAAACTGAGGTCAAGAGGGTGTTTGTTTTTTTAATTTTAGAATACTGTGATTTGCTAAAGAGGCCCTGTGGAATGAAGACAGCCCGAGTGATACTACTACTTATGTGAACTTGAGGAAGTCACTTACTTGCTCAGTTTTCTCCGCTGAACATTTGGCATGATAAACCCACCTTGCAGGATTTCCATCAATACTAAATGAATACACTAACGTGTCAATAGCAACAGGCCAGAAGTGGTAACAAGCAAGAATGGAATTTAGAAAAAGGATTTGCTTGGCTCTCACAGATGTTCCCAAAGGTGACAAATGAGGTTGGCGAGCAAGGCAGTGTCTGGTTGACATGGGGCTTTGAGGGCCACCTGCCTGCGCAGTTTGATTTTGCAATCTCCGGCTCTTCGAAACTTCTATGAGAGGACAAGTAGTCACAATGCCACATCTTGTAGTGCAGCCTGCAAGGATGCTTGTAAAACACTCCAAGCTTATTAAACATTCCCAACAGATCTCTTCTCCCAGAGTCTTCCCCGCCCCACACCAGTGAGCCCCAGCACGTGCAGGGGAAACAAAGAAGCAATTCTGAAGCACAAGGAGCTGCCCGGCTCTCCCAGTAGTTTTCCCCAGGGAGGGCAATGTGCCTCCGGACATGCTCGGCTGGAGCTGACCGGGACCTGGGCTGTGCTCACTGAACAGGTCGAGAATGATTTGGCTCTAGCTTTGGGAAATTATGACATCATCTTGTGGCAGTTTACATATCCAACTGTTTACCTTCAGATGCCATTCATTTGTAGGTTGAATAAACTAGGCCTATTTCCACCTCGTGTTCATTTAAACTCCTGATTAAAAAAGCCTTCTAAGACCCATTTCAGGAAAACAGCGCTTGGTTTGATGGGGAAAAGCCCTGGACTGGCAGACCGCAGAGCCAGGTTCCAGTCCTCATCAGCGTCACCCAAAAGCAACGTGTGAGCACGTCGCAGCCTCCGCCCCGCGTCTGCAGGGCGGACTGGGGCATCTTCGGGATTCCTTCCGTTTCAGAGAACTGCAGGACTTAGCACCAAGGAACCAAGGGCTGATTCTGCTAAGGGCTTCCCTGTCACCTGTGGTTACTGCTCCCTCAGAG